GCTATGTGATGGTCAGCAGGATTTAACTGTGTACCTGGTCTCGGGGCAAGTCGCAGGGTGGTGGTGGAAGGGTTTTACTGAGTTATGAAGTTGCACTACAACTTGGGATGATGGTAGAGATGTCTGGCTTAGCTGTAGAGGTTGAAGTAAAGGGAAGAAGGCTGAAGGTTGGATGCCTTTTATCTTCTGCTCTGCCCTTACTGCTCTAAGGCATCTGGGCTTCCGGAGGCACGTCGGGAGCCTCTACCCCAAGTTTAGGCAGTTTTCTTCATTGCTTTTTTAGGTCTTCTCAGTTGTCTTGCGCTAGCATATGCACAGTGAGTTCCTCTGCCCAGGCTCAGGGCATTTGTACTCTGAACCCAAAGGAGAGGTGTCAGAGCTGCATGTGCCCTGAGCCTAGAGCAGAGGGGGAGTTGCAATCCATCCTTATGTTTCTGGGATGGGTAGAGGTGGGCCGGGGACAAGAGGGCCCCCCAGACAGGAGCGGTGGGCTGGAGGTGTGCTGCATTGCAATTGCTGTTTGTCCTGTTTTGCCCTGTGTCTATAGGGAGATGTAGCTGATTTAGTTCTGCTCCTTCCTATCTCAGCTGGGAGGAGGGGCTCTAGGAAGCAGGAGGAAAGTTGGAGCCCTGGGGCTGTGAATGTGTCTTACTCAGAGCTGGAGGGCAGGGGAAGTTGTTGCAGAGGGATGGGGGTGGAGGTGGGGAAGCACCAGAGAAATAAGCATTGTGGGCATGATGAACAGGATTAATCTCAAGTGAAGTGAAATTACAGTTAGAAGATTGGAACAAATAATCCAGTTATTCTCAAGACCCAGTAATAAACTGTTGAAATCCAGATTAATGTTGTACCATTCCTATAAGATTTCTCTCTTAAAAAAATAATTTCCAGCTTTATATTCTCAGTCGTGCTGTAGCATGTTGTGTCTGTAGGGCAGTGCTCTACTCTATTGCATTTCCTTGCACAGAAACAAAAGGAAACAGCAGCCTTGTATATCTCCTTGTGCTTCTTGAATTCAAGATTGAGTCGTATGTTTGCCCTTCCCTAACAGCATAAAGGGCCCTGAACCACGAACAGGCACTACAGCTACAAATGGCGTAGTTATTTGGGGACTAAAGGATTGAGCTTATTTCCTTTCTCGGAGGATATGGGTAAAATGTGAGGGGAAGGGAATGATCAGCTTTGACATAGATGTCTCTTGTCCTTCTACTTGTACAGGAAGCCCATGCAGAACAGGTGGAAGTAGGAGAGGGGGAATATGCTCCCTGATTTTTTTTATTTTTATTTTTTACTGGACATCTGGATGTGAGAGTTTTAGAGTAAAGCCAGGTTCTAGAGATAACGATCCATCAGATCCCAGAAAATAAGTGGGCAAACCTCCTTGCACCTTTGCTGCATACCTTATCTTTGATTATGCCAGTGCTCGAGACCTGCTCTCTGGAGTCATCTTCTCTTCCTGCCCTTTCTTGCACGCCCGCCCTGTGACATTTCAGTCTGAGATATGCAGAGGGGTGGTCAGCAGGGAGACAGTGAGAACAACTGGATGCATGCCCCTTGTAAAATGAGGATGCTGGAGGAGAACTGCTGTTAGGAAAGTTTGAAAGATGGCTCTGCTTTCACATATGTTGCGTTTATATTTGAGCTAATTGTTCATGTTCCTCTTGTAATGGTTTCCTGCTTTTATTTCTACTATGATAGCCTCTGTGATGCCTTTCGGGAGCCTTGAGTTTGGGTGTTAGTAAGTGAAAATTAGGGCCCTGATTTTCCATGGAGAAATGCTCTTAGGCACTGTGGTAATTTCATGCCTGGAAGGAGTCATATTTGCTGGATAACTTTTGCAACTTAAAACAACCAAATTATGCTTGAGAAACTATAATTCCTAATCAGAATATTGAGCTCATAGTCTCTATGCTCTGTTAGGTGGAAGCATCACAAGGCTCCTTGTGCAAAGGGTGGAAACTTGGCTTGCAAAGGTAAGAAAGTGGCCTGATTTTAGTTAATACTGAAACTGCAGTGATTCCCAGGTTCAAGGCAGTTTGTAATATTCTGAGCAGTTAAGGTCAGATATAAAGCTATATTGGTTCAACTCTTTACTTTTTACACAATGAAGTGGCTAAGTGACACTTACTGTCCTTATTCTGCTCTCACCCTAAAACTTTACAAGAGTAAAAAGGGCATTCATAGTGATTTGGTCAGCCAATCCCAGTAAATGAGACTCCAAGCTTAATGGTCTTCCCAGAAACCTCAAAGCGTGCATGTTGGACTGGGAAAGGCAATGTGACTTTCCAAAGCTGCTAGCTAGGATGAATCTAACTGCTTTGGTGGATTATTGGTGAGGTTTTGGCTTATTGGGGCTGCTCAGCAAAGCTGCTGAGTAATCAAAGGTGGTCATCTTAAGCTTTGGGCCATTGCGATTTTGATCCCCCAAGAGGTTTGAATTGGGCAGTGATTGCTGGCACAGGAACTCCTGCCACTTCCCCTTGTGCTGGCTCGAACTCTTCCACAAGCTGGTTCAGCTTTAAAACCTGGCCGAAAACTAACCCAATAAACAAATAGTCTTTTGTCAGCTCAGCAAGCTGGCTTGCCTCAACAAGGGGTTAGGTGAGAGGCAGAGCTGGAAGGGGAAAACAGGGCAGGACTTATGGTGCATAGCAGGGGTGAGGGAGGATGAGAAATGTGAGCGGGCTCCTGGTATGGTTACAGTGAACTCGACGAGCTCATGAGACTGCACCCACAGCAAAAGGCTTCTTTGATTCTGTTTCAGCTCAAGGAATGTCTATGGGGGTTTTTAACTTCTGTGAAGCTTAACTCTGCCATATAAATATGGTCTAATCATGAAGCAGGTGAGTCTTAGTCCCCCCACTATTGAAGGATGCCACAATAGAGAGACAGAGGCATACCCTTTGTGTGTGCTAGGAATAGACCCTTCAAGATCTGCAACAAAACTGAAAGCCGGCTAAGACTATAGATTGCCTGTGTGGTTCAGGAGAGGGCATGCTTCTCAGTCACCCGTGGCAGGAATGTGGGGGTTTTAAAATAGTATGAACCTATTGGGAGCTGATGCTAGGTTTTCTTTCCAGCCACAAGCACAGATAAGAGGAGAGCAGACCCACTTACTGATGGGGATAGCTGAGCATGTGCTTCCTGTATTCTTCCACTTAAGTGAAGTCAGATACTAGCATCTTGTTCTCCCATCCCTGTTAGGACTGCACCAGTACCACTGGCCTTTGCAACTTTGTATGCTTTCCTCTGTTGTACATGAGATGGTTTGTATCTGTGTAGAAGAGCTGCGCACACACTGAGCTCTTATATCAGTAAGAGCTTGGAGTGATTCCCTGAGCTCACTGGCTGACACCTGAGAAGTACAGATAACCTCCTGAATGCTGCTTTTTAACTGCAGCCTTTGCTCTGTACTGGTGGAGGGTAGCATTTGGGTAAACTGTGAATAAGGCAAGTTACTAGGGGAGATGACCGTCTTCTGGTGGATGTTTCCCTGCTGTAACCTTGCTGACTTAGACAAGTTGAAATAATGACCTCAAAGCTCCAGAGGAGTATCTGGTCTGGAGGCTCAAATACTGACTTTAAAAGGGGACTCTGGGCTGCTTTGTGTTGTTGCTTACTCCTATGCCAAATGCATGGGAAGCGCTCCCGCTCAGGCTCAGCGTTACCCTTTGATCTGCACCATGATCTGGCGACAGTGTAGATGTGATTCTTGGTGTGTGTCTGTGTTGGCACTGAGATCTTGCAGTTTGAGTTCCCTCTGGGTTTTAAAAGTCACATTGCTGCTTCTTCCAGGAAAGCTGACAGATGGCCACCAGCAAGCTCCGTCAATCCGTGGTGTCCTCCAAGATGCCTAATGGATTCCAGAGCAAAGTGGTGGCACCTCGTAATCCAAAGCTGGTCAAAAAGGCAGAGAAGCCTGTAACTGTAAGTACCTGCTGTGTCCTATCCAGTAGGAGCTGTGTTAGGGCTGGCAGTCCCCACTGTATCTCTCCTTTGCCTTTCCTCTCATGTTGTCTAGCAGCACCATGACGCTAGATGCCACCTCCCCATCTGGTTCCTGCCATGTTTCTGTTGGAGATGGCTACTCTGGTGCAGTGGGGGATGGATTGTGTCCTGCTTAAGGGAAAGTCCAGGGTCTTGGCTCCAGAGTCATATAATTAAGCTAACATGCTGGACATTGTACTAGAATAGCTGAAGCATGAACACATGCTCCCTTCTGTCCCATCTGCTATGTGGGCAGTAACATCTTCAGTCATGTAGATATATTTGCCAGTGCTGCTCTGACCATACCTCGAGGCAGCAGGGTATGTGGTGGACTGCTCAAACTGCCTTAAGACTGAGGGAGCAAGGTCCAAGATAGGATGGGCTCCAAACCAGTCATTTTGTTCTCTCACATGCTGTGCCGAGCACTGATCTAGCCCTGCAAACAGTTGTGGAATCAGGGCAATCTCCTCCCCATCCCCACCTGCCCCCTCTGCTAACTGGAGCTCACCTGACTGGAGGTGACCCAGCACTAAGCCTTTGTCAAGGGGACATCCCGTAGACTTCTGCGAAGGGGTCTGTGAGGCCAAACCAGAGAGAAAACAAGCACTTATTAAAATGACATGATGAAAACTTGGACCCATTCCTCTCCACCTCGCCCTTGGCACAACACGGCTTTTCTACTTTCTTCTAATTCACCCAGCGGTGATATCTCCACATGCATCTTGGTTGTGAGCACTGTGTAAAGTTGGAGTTGGGGGATTTCTGGCAATCCCCCCAACTCTCCTCAAAGGTCACTAGCTCAATCCAGTAAAGCTAAAGAGGAAACAAATGCCAAAAGAGCAATAATCCCCATTCATGTCACATCAAATCATGAAGGAAATGCTAATAGGATAGAGCCATTCTGTTAGAGTGTGTGTATTCTGCTCTATATAATTAATTTACTGGTGTTAAATATTTCAGCAGGTAACTCAGAGGACTTCCAGGACTATCCTAGTGGCTGTGATCACAAATTATTCATCAGTAGCACTTCACCAGCAAGAGCTGTATAAATGTCTATGTTGAGAAAGGCTTTTCTTGTTGCCGCTTTGTGTTTCAGCTGACTCCCTCTGCTTTCCTGAAGGAGATGTCTCTTACCACGGAGCAGAGACTGGCCAGCACTCACGAGATGAGGCGGCCCCGGATTGTCCAGCTTCTAGACATGAGCGAAACTTCTCATCAAAAGGTAGCACTTTCCTACCCTTTTCCTTGCTGTTTGTGACGTTTAGAGTGCATGCATGTTGGCAGTCTTGCCTGCGGTTTCTCTGAATACCTCACTGACTAGGCCTTGTTGTCCTTTCAAACTGCTGACGGTGGTGGCATTCTTCCTGCCTTGTGCTGGGGGAGAGGCAAGACACTCACGCTGCTGACGAGCTGAAGGGACAGCCCTAACCTGCATTCAGCTGGTATAAAAGATCTCTACTGAAATCCATGGGTTTTGCTGGAGTTTCACTACCCTTGCTAAAGCCCAGTGTTGGGGCGGGAGGATAGGACAGAGCATGAGGGCTTACCTTGCCATTCTCTCATCCTTCCTCTGAAATAGCCACCCTTTCTCTTGCTTTGATGTAGTCACTATCAAATACTTAGGGTCATAAGCTTCCCCTTCACTAGTGGCAACACTGACCTTTGAAGAAAGAGGGCTGTAGGCTGTGTGGTCATTGCTCAAGGTTGTTGTTGGTGTTGGTTTTTTTTTTTTAAAGCCACAATTTCATTAATGCTTTGGGCTAGAATAAAATGTTGAGACCATAAAAGGTATTAGATCTGCAGGCTACAGGGCCCTATAAGGTATACAAGGGAATATGCCCCTGACAGAGTGAATAGATGTGCTTTAGTTGGATGAACGTTTAGTGGGATGAATGTTTAAAACTACTTTCCTTAAAGAACTGCTCAATATATAACACACAGCCCAAGGGGGAATAATTGCAGAGGTAGACTACTGAGCAGAAAATTGCCAGCAAGATGCCTGTAACAAATTGGTTAACAACTGTCATAGACATCACAGAAGGTTGAGAACACATCAGATGCGCACAAATAGCTGGCAGTGTGCTGCAGCTACTGATTTCAGCCTGGCTGGGATTTCTATGCGTCCTGGCATAAGAGATCCACTTGTGTCTTGCAGTGGGAACACTGCAACTGAAAAAGTAGAGGAAGAGCAGGAGGAGTTTTCTCAATATAATGCTTCTCTGCCCTGCAACCCTTTGCTCTGTGTTTGTATATATTTTTCAGATGTGCTTCTGCAGCAGTATTAAATAAAGCAACTGTAATGGAATGAAATAGAGCATTTCTCTCTCCAATTTAGAGTTCATGAAAAGGAGATACTAAGTCCATTCTTGAGTTGTCCAGTAGTGCTGAGATAAGAGCCGAACCTTATGGGCATCCAGCATTCACCTCTTCTTCCTAACTACTGTGTTGCTTACCTGTTGACCTTCCCTCTTGCAGTAATGTTCTCTGCCTGCTGGTCTCTAGGCTTCCTGTTCCAAGAAGATATTAGGGACCTGTTCCAAAGTAAAACTATTTCCTAGTTTGTCTCCCTTGGAGTCCCAAAGATGTTCTTGCATTTCAGTTGTTCCATGAGTACTCGTGGCTCTTTTGGTAAGTATTTTTGGAGCTGCGTGACCACATTAGCACAGGGCTGAGCTGGACATAAATTCTGGTTCTCTTTCCAGAGAGACACCTGCCAAAATCGCTTGACTTGAGCCTGCTTAATGTGGTCTGGTAGCTCTTGATCAGTTCTGAACACAGGTGAACTGCAGTTTACCTAGAGTGAACTGGACAGACCTCCCCACCAAGAAGCTGCACCTCACTGTTCTCATCCATGGATCATGCTTCCAGGAGCTGAACCTTTCACTGCTGTCTGTCTTGCATTTCCAGTTCTCAGCACTTGACCTGGAACAGAGCTTGTTTCAGCCTTTCCCGTCAGAGGTGGTATTTCAGAACTACGTTCCGTGTGAGATCTACGAAGTGCCTCTGATTCTGAGGAACAATGACAAGGTGAGCGCTGGGATGTGGAAGTTTAGCATCATGCTAGAGGAGGAGAGCAGCCTAACTCATGTAGCATACAGCATAGCAAGTTATCCACTACATGCAGCATGTCCTAATAAAAATCTCACCCTCTTTTTTTTTTTTTTTTTTTTTTTTTTTAAACAAGAGGGTGGAAGCCCTTCCATGTTGTTAAAGGATTTCTCCCTCTGATTTTTACCACTCACTGGTGGGATTTAACCCAAAGGGGCTTTTCCCATTTAGCACCCTTCCCCTTGAAATCCCTGGGCTGATGCGAATGTTGAGAGCTACACACTTTTTATTTGCCTTCATCATGCCCTGCCTCAAGAGCATGCACTGTCTGGTGTCCAGAAGGCTCAGTTTATCTAGGTTTTTGCCGGGGCATCTCTGCCTCTCAGCTTATTTAACAGCTGCTTGCAGTGTCACTGAACTGGGGGGGAATACAACAGTCCCCGCTGAGAAAAGGCACTCTCCCCTGAAACTGGTCCTCCTGTGGACACACTCTGGTCCACAGACTCTCTCTGGGCCAGGAAATGGTTCAAAACCATGGCTCAAGATGTGAGCTGACAGTGCATGGTTTGTATGCTGCCTCTGTTAGATGTCACTCACTATTGGCAGGTACAGGGGTTGATCCTTCTCTACCTTATGCTGAAATAAGTTACAAATAGTGGCATTATCTGTCCAGAAAAGGTAATTTGAATCAGCAGTGGAAAAAGACTGATTTAGCAGAAGCAATGGGAGTTCTTTAGGTTCCACTTTAGGCCCCGCTAAGCTTAATTCAGTTCTGGCTCAGGCTTCTCTAAGGCAATGTGGCTCTCTGCCTTCCATTCAGAGAGCCACAGCCATCCAGAGTGATGTGCTCTTGAAGGTCTTTGCCTTTACTTGAAATAACTTTGCGATCATTTTGAGATTTCCCAAGAAACTAAGAAGGGAAAAGTTGAAAAATGTCAGCAATTTTGTTCCAGTGTAAAGAAGAAAATTGAGACCTTTTGAATTTCAGCGGGGGAAACATTTGCTCAAATGAGGCATGTGCCAAGGGCAAGCTGGTGGGAAAAGACAGGAGGGAGGAAAGGAGCTGAGTTAGGAAGTGCTCAGGGAGAGAATGTTGTACACCCAAAGGTTTTGCTTGACACGTAGTAATAAGTATACTGGAAGTGGAGAAAGGTCAGCATGAAAGAACAAGAAGGGTGTAAAAAGTAATCAGATTCTGTTCTGTCATGAAAAAGCATAATGGGCAATCAAATGCAAGATGTATGCATGAGAGGAGGACTATAGGGGAATTGGGGGAAGTGTACAGGAGATGGTGAAAATAAACCCTCCTCCAAATCTACCTGTATGAGAAAATAACTTTTTTGTCTGTCTGCTTATCAAGGGATATTGCAGGTGGGAGAGAAACAAGAGAAGTCAAAGTACACCCTGAGATAACAGATTTTGACAGGGACATGGTTGAAAATGGAAAACCCTTTGGCAAGGAAGGATGCAGGTGCAGCCCCTTTAGTTATTCTTGGAGAGTACTGATCCCTTCCTTGCCTGGGGTTTGGCAGGGGCATATTGAAAAGATGCAGCAGATTCCCAAAGGATGTCTTTCACGTACTCTGCACTGTGATCTGGGATGCTCTTTGATGCTGGTATCCTCTTTCCCAACAAAACATGCCTCAGTTTCTCTTATGCTTCTCTGCTCCCTTCCCACTAAATCCTTTGACCCTTAGACACTCCATTATCTGTGCAGCACTTCAAAATGTTTGTCTTTGCCAAGTACCAGCCAACAGGCAAACAGTTAACTTGTACTATTTATGCTTCTTCAAGTGGAAAAGAACATCTGCATCAACATTTCTGCCATTCCCAGTAAAAAATAATAAACTTGTATAGCTGTACCTTGGGATTCACATCTTCTGCAAGGGGGGAGACAATGTGTGAATTGTTAATTTTTTTTTTCTCCCCCAAAATGAATTAGTTGTTTTTTTTATGCTAGTAAGACCTCAGCCGTTGGACAGCACTGGTGTAAAGGCAAGATTAGCCCTAAGGAAGAACCTTGGGGTGTTTTAGTACACAAGATAAAGATGATAATTCCAAGAGTGGTTATTGCATTTTAATTTTTTGGCTTTTGGTAATGTCCTGGAGAAAAAGCTCTACTGCTTCATAAAACTTTCTCACTGGTTTCCCAGGTTTCCTCCAAATCATATGGACTTGCACAGCAGCCTGAGCTTGTCTGCTCTATATAAATCCAGCTAACAGCAGACTGTATTCCAAATGGAGGCTATGTAACCATTCAAATGCAGAAGTGATTCAGTCTATGCTTACTGCTCTTATCTGTGTTTTGGAAAATTGTTGTTCTGTCCTCAGGCTACTCCTTATCACTTCACCCTCTAAGGGACGTTCTGAGTGGCTTTTTCTGAAGGTCTTGGTGGGATGGCATGTGTGATCCCCTTCCAAGGGGCTCAGCAACCAAGACGTGTGCAGTGTGAAATGACTCCTAGAACTCACTGCCCCAGGGTGTTGCTGAGAGCAGAGGGCTTTCAAAGAGTTCAGGACTGCCTTTGCCATGCTGGCTGTGGGTTACCAGGCTCCAGTGGGTGACACAGACTGAATCTCCCTATTTTCCTCGGATCTCACATGAGTTCGTTGTTTATCAGTGAAGTTATCTGTCAGTTAAAATTGCCTGTTTGCAATTTTTCCAGATGAGATTCAGTGCTCTGGAGTTGATATCTGGGTCCTGCAGGACCCCTGTTTGCTTCCTCTGTGTTTTTTAGTGTCCTGGAGGGCAGAAGTTGCTGAAAGGTGCCTGCAGGGATTCTTGGGTGTTGGGAGGAATACCCAGAAATCTGGTTTGCCTGTACTGACAGCTGCCTGGCTATGATCACCAGGCAGCAAGAGCCTCTGGAGAGCTGAGACTGGCTTTTAATAATGAAACCACGCTATGAGTCAGTGCTGGTCATGTATCTCAAGGCAGAAATTGCCCTTCAAGCCCATAATTGGTAGGCACAGCCTAGGGGGGTAGGAGGTAATTGTAGTCTGACTTTCCATCACTCTGGCAAGTCAACTGCTCTCATCTTCTGGATCAGCCTCTCTTTCCTTCTTCCCTGGACTGTCATGCCTCTTCTCGCTTGCTGCTTTACAGCAGCAACTCCTTCTCCCCGTTTCCTGCATTGTCTCTTTGCCTTCTTGTATTCCTCCTTTTACTCTTCTCCCTCAGCTTGTTTGTATTCCCAGTAAAGCCACAATGTCTGTGTTCTCCTCCTCCTGCCAGTCTGTCTGCTTGTCTTTGTAGTACATCAGCTTGGCTGCCCCACTCAAACCCAGTGCATTAGAGGTGAAATTTCTTCCTTGCCCCAGCATAACAAATATATTATCTGAAGCCAAAGCAGTATTTCTGTAGCTAGAGGCATGTCTGCATCTGTGTACAGGCAGAATCAAGCTGTCTGCGGGTGCTTTGGGCTTGTTGAACAAGTGGATGATCTGATTAAGATACTGAATTGATTTCCATACTGCCAGCGTGCCTTACCTGATGGGGATTTCCTCTCAGCAGGGCATTGCCCTGATAGCCCCTCGCCTAGAGCTGTCTTGCTTAGGCGGGATGGATGCAAGTCCATCCTTGTGTATTGTGTGCATATACCAATGGGGCCAAAAGTGCTTTGGAAAGGTGGTTAAGGAAGAAGGATGTCTCCTGGGCATGGACAAGTCCTTTCTCTTTGTTTCCACATCGGTTGCATTTCATATCTTTTCCGCAGATTCCTCGGCTGGTGAAGGTGGTCTTGGAGAGTTCACCTTACTTCAAGTTGATCAGCCCCAATGACGTGTGTCATAAGGTAGCACCTGGCATGCCCTCAACTTTCCGCATAGTTTTCACCCCTGAGGAGAACAAGGTGAGACTGCAGGTCCTGAGAGCTTGGTGCCTCAATGGAATATGAACTTGCAGGGCTGGATTCAGAAAGGGGATGTGGCATGGGTTTTGAGGAACTGTCCTAATTTCAGTGGAGATGCATGGGATCCGGAACAGGGGGAACTCTCCCCGTGGTGAAGACTAGCCTCTTGCAGGCTGGAGGCTCTCTTACCTGTTTGAGGCTGTTCTTTATTCTTGGAGCACTTACTGTAATGTCTATTGGCTTTGGGGGTGAGAAGTCCTCCCCTGTGCATGGAGGGGGCCTCTCTAAGTGTTGGTTTCTGGCCTCACTTAATTGTTGCATGGTCCTGGGTTTGTTCCCCAGGTTATAAAAATGAAAATCTATATTTGTGACCTGTTATTTGAAGGACCCAGAGTGAACTTGATATTTGGGGGAGGGTCACCTCCTTTGAAAACTGGAGTCAGCTTAGTGTCTGCTGTATTGGGCATCCAGTAGTGAGACAGCTGAACATTAGGTCTAAAGTCACAATTTTTTTTAACCTGATGCATGCTGGTTACAGCCCATGTCCTGCTGCATGAGGAGGTCTGCTGTAGACTGGTTGTGAGATCTTGAGCTAGTTGCATCTTGGCATTGCATGATGCTGTTAGACACTGCAGGGGGATTGGCTGGCTGTGCTTTTTCTCCCTGAGGAACTTGGGCTTTGGAGAGGGAAGATGCACACAGAACACAGGAAAAAGACAAGGGATGTGGAAAAAGTAATTTAGCCAACCTTCTACTCAGTGGTAGGGGCTTTATTATGGTAGAAAATACTACAGGAACAAATAGAACCAGGGAAGGCTTTTCTTTCTGCCATCTGGCAACCACTTCTGTGCCTCACTCTGGACCAGAGAAAAGAAGAGGCTTTCTCAAGCCCTATATTTTCAAGCCTTGCAGCTGTGCTGTCCCTGAGGACACTTGCCTATGCGCAATCCAGCTGCGAGTCTAGGAGAGGAAGTGCTGTGCCTATGGCAGGGAGCAAGTCTAGCACAGAGGTGCTGAGCTCTAGGTGTCCTTAACTCAGCGGGAGGTCAATGTGCTGCAGAGGGCTCTGGGAGACATCTGCCTGAAAGAGCATGTATAAGGAAAAATGAGCAGGTACAATCTGCCCTGCTGTGTCCTTACAGATAAACACACATTGCCCCAAAGCCTGTGGCCAGTAATACTGGCGTACCTGTATGAAGACGCAGCATATTGTGGTGATTGCTCTAGCAACTGACACCTCTTCCACACCATACATACACTAAAGCACGGTTTTGAGGTGTGAGTATTAGTGCTGTGCCCCTGGCAAATCTGATCCTCAGTGCTATGATGAGAAGGGTCAATACTGTTATCTGAAGGCTTGTTTGTACAGCAGGGGGATTTAGCATGTAGCAAGGAGTGGGGGAAGCATTGCAGGGAGACTAAGACAGGCAGGCAAATTTTTTTATACCAGCATCCTACTAATTCCTAGCACTGTTCTTCCAATGGCCTCATTGGAGAGGCAAGGTTGGGGGTAGTTTTGAGCCAGCTAATATTCCTACATGAGGACAGAGGGGCAAGATCTCTTTGGGACTAAGTGTTTTCTTGTCTTTCATTTGCTGCTTGGTTTTCATGTAACACTATATGCTGTTTGAGGATGGGAAAGACATAGAAAATTAAAGAGGAAATGCCCCAAGGTCCCCATCTCCCTATGCCTGTGGAATAATTTGTTCCTCTGGAGGGACTGCGAAATTATTTAATATCATTAATATTTAGGGTGAAAAGTATGTTGGCCTAGGGCAGTTCTCCAAACTATCCAAATGACACAAGAGCTTAATCTCATCGAGGTAGACTTTGCAAAGTATTCTGGTGCTTTTAAAATATGATTTATTAGTACTAATTAGTGGGTATTCATTTTGGGGGTGGAAGAGGTAAATTGCTGCCCCTGAAGTGCAAAGTACTGCTGTTCAAGTTCAGAGAGGCAGCAGAGCAACACGCAAACATCACTGCAAATAGAAGCAGAGAGAAATAACTCGCTTCTCAATCCAGAGAGCAGTAATGTTCAACACTGTCCCTCGTCTTGCTTTTGAGATGGCCAGAGTATGAAATGGGGAGCTCTGCCAGTGGGAGGCCACTGCAGTTCTGGCAGATATCTAGGCAATAAACAGGAGTGGTAAACTTGGCTGCCCACAGCATGCTGAACTTTTGTGCCTCTGACCACCTGCAAGGTCACCTTCTGCAGCAGGTTCGGTGGTCAGATATGTCCCTTGGCTTAGTCCAAGGCAGCTTCTTCGGCCAATGGGGTATCTCAGGATAGAAAACACCCTGCAGCACACCCCTTCTTCTGAACTACCTTCTTGGTCCTTTTTGTGCTCTTTGCAGTGGTTGTGGAGAACATCAGGAAAGAGGTGCTGCTCAATTTGTACAGAATTTTATAGAAATCAAACACTATCTTGTACTTGCTGACGCATGAGTCAACAAAGCGCTGGAGTGCTGCAGCTCAGCTGGAAACGAATCAGTAGTGGGGCCAAGAGGTGCAGAGCACTTTACAAAACCCTTCAGCAAAGAAGCAGGCTATGGGAGATGGCTCTGTGAAGTCATCTGTGTTGAGCTTGCAGTTCTTTGCATGTGGAAGAGATGTGTGGTTTGGTTGTCGAAAGCTTATGAGCACAACCCTTTACCCCTATTGCCTCTCTGGGGTAAGTCTGAGTTCAGTGAAGTCAATTCCTGATTCATGGGAGTAAAGCACAGAGCAGAACTGTGGCTAAGCCCTAAATAAAAGGAACATGAGTTGTTAGTGGTTGAAATGCCATGTGCCATGGAGCCCTTTCTTGAAAAACGAGCCATTTCCTATTGTCTCGTAGTCATTTGGGAACATGCCACATGATTGGGCTGTCAGTAAGTAAATAAATAGCTGACATGTATCTTTGTTTATTGGCACTTGCATTATAAATATGAAATGCTGATTTTCTTGTTGGGCAACATTTCCAATTAGTTACTCTTGCTGCTTCTGATTTACACATTTCTGTTTTATGGCTCCAGTTGTATAGTGTGGGTGTTCTCGTGCCACCGTGTGTTCCCGGGTGTCTTTGCATTATGGTCTGACAGTCTCTGCCTAATTGGAAACCATTGCAGAGCTGACTGGCAAATAAACAACAGATAGGCTTGCTTACATTTATGTGTGTCCTTCAGGTTTGTTAATAGATTACCTTAAAGGGAAGAAGGAAGCAAGAGACATATAAAAATATGGCACAGATTATTCTGTTTCTCTTGCTTTTTGCTGTAGCAATGGCACTCAGGCAATACCAGTTCAGCCTAAGGTTTGCGAAATTCATTACTGATGCCCAGTGGAGACTGAATTAATGTTCACTGATTAATATGGAATGTGACAGGACAATGAGTTATTGCATTACTGAAATTAACTGCTTTAAAATTCAGTTCAGCCCTGTTAGAGATGTTTTGTAGCATATAGAAGCTATTCCAAGTATACTTTTGAGATAAGACTCTTGTGGAGGAGGTGAGGGGACAGAAGATCAAGGCAAATGACCCTGCACAAGGTGAACTGGGGGCAAATGACTAATTTCAAAGCATTCTGTGAACTGGTTGCTGAGGGAGGTAGTAAAGGGAGGGGGGGAACCCATTCTCATGTAAGGCTGTCTTCATGCTCCAGTGTCTGTCTCTCCTCTCTTTTAATGTCCCTTATTTTCCAGCCTTTATGGTGTTATGGTTTCGGCAGTTTTCAGCATTCCCTGCTTGACTTACTACATTACCTCATGCTAGAAGCTGTTTTTTTTTCCTAAGCAGGCAACTGCAAAGATAACTGATGCTAAATACTTCATTAAATTATGCAGCTAAACTGACATCTCTGTTTCTTGGCATATTGAACAGTTAGGTTGATCGCACTAGGACAATAAAGTTAGTCCAAGTTTGCAAAGAGCCTGGAACAGCTCTATGATACAAGCCGTTACTTTCACTTCAGTGGCTGTTAATTCAAATGCCAGTGGTGATGCTTTGAAGGCTAAAACTTGCAAGTTATTGCTTACCAGAACTGAATGTTAAGAGGGGATGTGCCATCATACAATGATCTGTACTTATTTTCCTAGGAACTGGGGGAGGTGTGTGGAGGATGTGGTCGTATTTTCATGAAAATCTAAGAGTTGTGTTTATATCTGATTTAGACTATAAAGTATTTAAGTGATGCAATCCCTCTGTCTCATCCAGGCATGCTTAACTAGAAGCCTGTTTTTAAACAGTTTAAGGGGGTTGCAGCTGTGAAATAAACGTGGATTTTAAGCTGCTTTCAACAATATACTTGCGTTGTATTAAATGCATCGCAAATTTGGTGTGCTGGTAGCACAGGGAGTACTGCAGCCCTCATTTTCACACAAGGGAGGGTCATTTCCCCTTTTAAAAGCTTAAAGGGACAGTGAATTAATAGTAGCGTTCTGTCTAGTACTTTTCTTCCATTGGTTTTCTCTCCATTTGGCCTGACACTGCACTTGCCCAGTTTGGGGTACCAGAGCATGGCTGGAGGGTTAGCAGGCACTTAGGGACTTTGGGTCGAGGCTGTGTCAGAAGTCCTGGGAGGCCCTGGAGAAGGGGCTCAGCACCCAATGCACCTCTCTGCTCATGTGTGGAGCCGAACAGCAAAGAGGTATCCTTCCCTCTCAAGGCTTATCTCCATGAGGCTGAATCCTTGTTACTTAACTTTGCCTTCATGTACCCAGAAAAGTCCCTTTCTCTGTAGCAGACCCCCCCTCGCTGCTGTACAGGCAGTCCCAAAGCCCCTCACTAGTAATGAAGGCGGGAAGGTGGCCTATGTTTGCGCTGAGGGGATTTATACCTGAGGGAGGTATTTATTCCTTGCAGTCTTATTTACATTGCTCTTGATCCACTTGCTCTTTAGCAATGACAATGAATTTGAAAATGATTGATTCCCCCCCTCCCCCCAATACCTCAAATTGTAGAAACTTCTTTTTTCTTTATCCCTCTGCTGATCTGAACCCCTTGCAGCCTCCTGTCCACCTTGCGTCTGGAAGGGAGAGATAAGTAAACGAGGCATGCCAAGACTTAAGGCATGTACCTTTCAATTGGATTTACAATGCCAATATTATAGTAGTATGGCCAAAATGACAAAAAAATTAAGATATATTCTTCAGTTGCTAATGCAGTTTCTGAAAATCTAAACAGTCCAGAACATAAAGTACCCATGTAACGGGTGCTTTAAATTCACATGGGCTGCCCTTAGCTTTTATTTTAGAGGAGTTAGGCTGCTGCAAGATTGAGTACAAAATTGCAAATTCAGGAAGGTTTGCTGAATATCACATTTCAGCAGTGCATTTAGTCTTCAATTCTGTGGGCAGCTTGCTATGGCTCCCTTCCTGGTATTTTATCCTTCTAGATATGAGAAGCTAAAGCCCTTCTGCAGTTTCCAGTGTGAATATTTGAGATCTGTGTCCATAGAAGATATTTTTCTTTGTCTTGTCCTGGATGTGACAGCATTTGTAACTGGAACCTTAAACCCCAGCTGAGCAGGTGGTCGGTGTGCGATGAGAGCAGTCAGTAGGCGTTGTGACTGTTACCTGCTACTTTAGTGCAGTTGTATGTGTCTGTGCCTCCCTTGCCTGAATGTCCCTTCTGGGCTCAGGGACCTTAGCACAGGTAAGAGAAGGCAGAAACCCCATGTGCAGAGGAATCTAAATGCAGCTCTAGTTGAGACAGTTTGCAGCTGTGTGAGATTCCTAAATCAAATCTTCATAATTTACTTGAAGCAGCAAGAAGGCTATCTCAAATGAGTTAAAAGCACCCAGAAAAAAGGATCAGAACAGCATGTGTGAGTGATAAGATGCAATTTCTTTATCAGTAACAAAGCTACTGGGAGAAATGGTTTCTGGCCCTATCGCAGCAGTTTGACCAATCATTTCAGTGGAAGGAAGATATTTTCAGCATAGTGGTACTACACCATACATCCTGAGACCAAAGTGGTCTGCTCAATCCTACAATGAAATGATTGTGATGGTTTGACTTGCTTTGTCATCACTGAATGCCATACAGTTGAGATTAAATGTCCAGCCCTGTTCTGAACAAGCAATGACTTGAAATAGCAAGGTTGAATTTGATGTGATGGGGGGGCATTTGAGCCTACCGCCTGCCTCAGGTAGGCACTCTAACAAGATGCCAAGTCACTTAGCCTAGAGAAGTTACAAGAGAGACATGATTAAGGCGTAGACCATGCCAGAATTTCCTGCATAGAAGTGAAACCATCTTCTCTGTCCCCTAAGGCTAGGTTGAGATATAAAGGAAAACCTGAGATTAGATGCAGGAAAAACTCTTTGTAAGGGTAGGGTAGAGGCTGCTGAGAGAAGGGGTGGAGTTGCTAGTGCTTTTAAGTATGTGTCAGACAAGCATCTCTGAGAAATAGTTTGGGTAGAGAGCTGAGCCCCTTCTGGGGTAGGGAGATAGATCAGAGAGCCTTTTTAAGTTTTTTGGGTTTTTTTCCCCCCCTTCCCCCAGCCTTGTCATCGATAAGACTCTAGAGGGAAAAACGCACATGCACCCTATGCTTGCTTGACATCCATACAACTGCTGTTGTATCCAATGTGTTCAGAACTAAACCAAAGGCTTATTGTTGAACATGCGTGTGGCTGAGTCCTTGTGAAAATGAACCTGAATATCCCCAGCGAAGCTACAAAGATGCCACTACGTTGCAGGGATTGGAGTTACGCTGTAGCACAGCTGAGTTTTTAGTAGTGTTGTTAAGTCTGCTGTAGTGATCAAAGCAAGTTCTTGTTACTGTTGTAATCCCATATGTGAAATTATTCTATTCTGGTGTTTCAGAATCAAAGTATCGGATAACTTTGTCCTCTGGCTGCATAAAGTTGGTTCTGCCAGCTTGCTGTGAAAGCACGTGAATCAATGGGATTATCTTGCCCCTTTGCAAGGTAACAACCCACTCACATCATGCTGCTGGAGTGAAGGGTCATTAAAGTACGAAGTACTAATACATTACATTATTAAATGCTGCTGTTATGGAGTCACAAAAAATAGTTTTCCTTCTGCTTCCTCCTGCCCTGGGGACAGTACTGAGTGCACTGTGCTGAGGCTGTGTTTCTTTCCCTGCAGGATTACTTCCACCAGGTCACCTGCATCACAGAGAGGGAAAAGTTTATTGTGCCTATCCGAGCTATAGGTGCCCGAGCTATCTTGGACTTCCCTGACCAGCTGAACTTCTCTGTCTGTCCAGTCAAGTACACTACCCAGAAAACTCTGCTGGTTCGCAACATTGGTAACAGAGAGGCCCGTTACTGCATCAGCACTCAGAGGTAAAGGAGCTTGGCATCTTGTCCATGCAAAACACTGTCATATGGTAGTACAGAGCTAGCCAAGAGTAATAAAAAGGAACTAAAGAGTGTGAGCTACTGTGTTGCAGCCTTAGCTGGTAATGGGTCAGAGATGTGGGGTTTTGCAGTCATTTACTGCATTTTAAGCATGATACAAACTTTGATTAAAATTTTGCGTGCTGCAGGGTTTTAAACCAGTGGTGTGTGTACCACTCAGCATCTTGGATCATGTTGGATTGAAAGGAACAAACATAGGAAGGGAGCTTGACTGCTCTTGGTTGGCTAGGATCCTGCATGGCAGATAATGCTAGGACCTCGAGTTCATGCAGACCAAATACAGCGTTAGGAAATGGCCAGCTATAAGCTGGTGAAAGAGCCATTTAAGCTAGCAGCTGTGTCTATGTTAGCAAATAATTCTGTGCAGTTAGAGATCAGTAGGGCAAAGCAATAGATATTGAGACCCCTACATCAGCACTCTGTGGTCCAGGGGCTTGACTTTGCAGTATGTTTGGTCTGGTCCCCTGGACTGAATATCCTCCTCATGCAGATGTTTGAAACTGAAAGATAAATCAGTGATTTGGACCCTCAGGAGTTGGAATATGTTGCACACCTGGAGGGAACTTCCAGTAATTTAGTTTGCAAGTAGCAGAACTGCTCTGTAGACTGGACCACTGCAGGAAAAGTGTAGGCGCATGCTTCGAAACTGCCTTACAGCTCTGAACCAGAATGCTAAAGAGGGCACAGACAAAAAGATGCAGCAAAAATCTGGTGCGTAGCGGGAGCCTTTTCTTTTAGAGCTTTATCTCCCCCAGGTTTCCTGGAGAGTGCTAAATGTTAGCTAACTTGCAGCCACCTGCTGGTAAGTACCTGCCTGAAATAGATAGTGCTATGGCCAATTGTACCAGCCAAATGGCACCATATTCTGTGGCACCATTGTCTGGGTGCACCTAAGTTGTTTCGGTTTCTTCCTCTTGCCAGCTGTAGGAAAACAGGGCTTAAAGAACTTTACTGCTCTCCTGTGACCCAAGAGGATCTGAGGAGCTTCCACCAAAGCCTGGCAAGGCTAGTGGAGCGGGCTTCTGGGATGCTGCTTTTCCTTCTCTGTGGTCACTTCCTAAGGATCAGCCTGTTCAGCTAGAAGGATCAAGTCACAAAGGAAGGAGCATAATGCCCTCTCAAAAGGGAGAAGATCCTACTGTGGGTCTCATTTATATGCTGCTTCTGCTGAAACCTTATAGCAAGGGGAAAAAGATAACGTGGACAGAAAAGCGGGTAAAGAAACAATGGGTTTGCCCAAGTAGGGCCAGTGGTTATCTAAACTAGAGAAAAGGCACCCAAGTGTCTTTTCAGCATGGAAAATATAGCAGGAACTTGTAAATCAATACACAGTTTTCCTCTGGGGTTTCCAGATCCAGTTGTTACCACCTAAATAAACACCTAGTAAGTATCTAACATGTTTTTCAATACTTAATGACTATTCTGATAGTCAATGATATAGCATATGTTGAATCTTGCTTAATAAGGACTTAGAAATGGTTTCCTGAGTTCAGCAATCAAATGTTTCAGTCTTGATTTGCAGTGAGGAAATGTGACGCATTAGAAAAGCTTTATAGTCTCAGACTACACACAAAACTTGGCAGACTTGTGAATAACCAGATCGCATGTGTACAAAGATCAAAAGCTGATATGATTTCCCTTGTAGTCAAAGTTGAGGGAATCTGTCATGTCTTCCACTTCATAATCATCTGTTTGAAATTCCAATCTGGTTTTCAAAAGTTCATTTACGTCTTTGAATATAAGCAGTGGCCACTTCTTAATCAGAAGAAAATACTGCTTTCTTTCAGACTTCTTTTTAAATACTGAGAAGTTCTTGTGTTTGTGCTCTGCATCTTTTTTTTTTGCCTTCCATGAGTGCAGTGCAATGTCATAAAGAGTTCTTCAGTAGAAGCTTTTACAAATGTAATTCCTGTAGTGTCTGTCTACCTACCATCTGCCTATACACCTATATACACAGAAGTATAGGAAATGTAATGGGAAGCTTGGGGGAATATGTGAAGAAGAATGTGACTCATTTTAAAAGTGTCACAGATAGAATCATAGAATAATTTAGTTCGGAAGGGACCTCCGGAGATCGTCTGGGCCAACACCTTGCTCAAAGCAAGACCAACCAAAGTTGGGTCAGATTGCTCAGGGCCTTTTTGTGCTGAGCTTTGAATATCTCCAAGGATGGAGATTATTTTCCCACCTCTCTGGGCCCCTGTTCCAGTTTTTGATCCCCTCATGGTAACGCTTTTTCCCTAATATCTAATCAGATTTTCCATTGTTGCAACTTTTGTTCATTTTTCCCTCATGTCACTGTGTGTGTCTCCAAGGTGAGCCTGCTTCCATCTTCTCTGCACCTACCCTTGGAGGAATTGTAGACTGCAATAAGATCTAACTTCATCTTCCTTTTCAAAGGCTATACAAACTCAGTTCTCTTGATCTCTCCTCATATGTCCTGTGCTCCAGCCCCCAAGCATCTTGGTCTCTGCTGGACTCATCTACTCAGCAATGTCTCATACTGGGAGCTCCAAACTGGGCACAGTATTCCAGCACTGGTATCAAGTGCTGAAGAGGGGAATAATTCCTTCCTTCAGCCTGCTGGCTGCACTCTTATTAATATAGGCCTACATGTGGTTGGCTGCTTCCCCTTCAAGGGCACACTATTGACCCATGGTTAACTTGTTGTCCAGCAGCACCCCAGGTCCTTTTCTGCAGCGCTGCTCTCTATCCAGTCAGTACCCAGCCTGTAGTTCTACTCAGGGTTATTCCATCACTGATGCAGGGTTTTGCATTTTCTGTTGCTGAGCTTCATGAAGTTCACATTGGCCCATGCTCTAGCCTGTCAAGATCCTTCTGAACAGCAGTCCTGCCCTCCAGTGTGGTGACCGCTCCCCCCAATTTGGCATCATCCAACAAATTTTGAGCATTCCTTCCTGATGTCCTGGACCTTGCAGCCCAAGGTCTGGGTGACTATGTCTGTCTTTGAGGCCTCTGATGTGTCAAAAGTGGTCACTCCAGTTCAGCAGTAGGGACCATGTCATCTGACATGTCATCACTGTGTTGTACCACCTCTTGCAGTCTCAGGTAGTGCCTCTGGGCCTTATTCTATGTCCATGACAACTGCTGCATTACTGAGTCTCTGCTACCTCTGTTAGCAATGATCAGGGTTCGGTTCCATGCTTTGAAGTGTTATGAGGAGTTGCTCAGATACCTAGTGCTGAGCTCCCAGGTAAGGCTTGTGGTGCTAGAAACCTGAACAGAAAAGATTTGGTCACCAGCATGTCTGACAACTTGGCTAGAGAATCAGGCCAATACACTGCTCTGTAGGTTAATATATCATCAGCTGGCCATTCTCTTTGAACTACTATGTCTACACAGGCTTCCATAAAAGACAGGCCATTCCCCTGCTAATGTCAGGGGATTAATTTCCCTGATGTAGAGAGTGTAACAAAGGCTGCATCATTATTAACAGCAGAGGTGGTGAAGATTTGGTTTAATGTGCCACTAATTCCCCTGAATGACTTTAGTAATAACATGATGATGATGATTAATTATCATCATGGAACACTTAAAATTGTGCCGGGAGCTTTGGAAATGAATGAGTTATGTTTCCTGTCCTGGAGAGCTTAAAGTGTAAATATGATATGCAGTAATCAAGAGTTATAGCCTAGGTGCTATGGGAAAAGAGTGCTGGGCTTAAAGATTTAAATTCAGAAAAGCTTTGGTCTATTCCTATTCATCAACAAATTTAAATGTTTGTTAAATATATTTTTAACTTTTGCTGAGTAAGAACGCAGTGTTGTGTTAAAGCTAAAATTAACATCCCATAGTAGCTTCTTTATTGATATGTACAAATACACATGCGTATGAGAGAAGTAGAGGAATTAATGGAGTTGAAGGGAAGTGGAGATCTGAATCTCAGGTTAGAGATCTTTTGTCTAAACTTGACATCCATAAATCCATGGGCCCCGATGGGATGCACCCACGAGTGCTGAGGGAGCTGGCGGATGTTATCGCTAGGCCACTCTTCACCTTCTTTTGCAGATCTTACGCTGCTAGAAGACATCCCAAGCAACTAATACCTCATAGACTGTGTGGCCCTCCTTTATCGTGTCTTCATATCATTATAGTACAGATTATTCACCCCATCTGCACAGACGAATCTGATGATTTTTTGTAGGCCACATGGTTCAGGGGTACCACTTGCTCTGCCACATGGAGTGAAATTGCAGTCCCTCTCTTGAGTGGTTGGAGCTGTCTGTCCCCTTCAGAGATTTTTGGTTGCTTGACTCTGATGGGAATTCTGCTTTACTTTTGAATGAGAACAGTCACAGTCCATTTTCCCATCTATGGAATTAAATGTTGGTCTTGAAATAGTGGAAGATAGACCAGTTGAGGACTGTCCTAGAAAGAGGATGCCACTAATGCCTGGACACACTGGTAACCTAGGTGCATTTGTCTCTCCATGATGGGGAAGGGGCCAAGACCTAAGGCTTTCTGTGGCCTGCCTGATTCAGCCGCGTTCCTCATGGAAATAGCCTGGAGATTTTAGTCAGCACCTCTGCTACATTTTTCTCAGAGCAAGCAGTACTCATGCCTGTTACGCAACTAAACACAGAAAGGATTCAAGCCTAGCTCGTCATGCTTGCCCAAACACCCACTTTGCTATGATAAGTGCAAGTAAAACATCCCCTGAGCAAACACCTCTACGCTGAGAGCCTTATCTGCAATTATCCAGCCCGCACGTGATACCCAAAGCTGCGGCAGAGGAAGCGCACTGCCGGGAAGCTGAGGTGAAAGTACAGCCTCACCTCAGCAAGCCAGGCTAGAATTGCACAGCCAGATGCTCCAGCTCTCCTGCCATTCTGCTGATGCTTTGCTGAGAATATCAAGATCAGAGCTCATCAATGAATTGAATTTAAGCCTGATGAAGCCCGTTTCTAAAAGATGTTTTGTGCTATGTTCATTCTGGAGCGTGCCAAAGCTTACTGAGGGAGGTGTTGGAGAGGAAAAGGAAAGCTTTAGGAAATGGATATGTGGCATGTGGGGTTTTTTGGCTTCAGGTTCTACAGCACACAGTATGGCACGCCACAGAGCTCACGGACCGTTTTGGGCTTTCTGCAAGCTAAGGCCACATCTGCAAAGACAGATGCCATGGCGTGTCCTCTTTGCATCAGCTGCATAGAAGCCAATTCCAGTTCCCAAACCACACGCTTACATTAGCACGGCACAGAGCCCAAGCTGAGAAATTCCACTTCTGAGCAGGGCTTACCATCTCTGGGATCCCTCACACGGCTTCTGGATCAAAGCTGGCTCACATCTGGCTGGCTCAGTGAATGGGGGGAGCCAAATCAGGACAGACAGCACCTCCCCATCGTAGGTGCTTCCCGAGGCACCTACCAGGTTTCTCTGAACCTGAGAAAAAACTTCTTCACTGTGAGGGTGACTGAGCATTGGCACAGGTTGCCCAGAGAGGTGGTGGAGTCTCCTTCGCTGGAGATATTCAAAAGCCATCTGGATGTGATCCTGGGCAATATGCTCTAGGTGACCCTGCTTGAACAGGGAGGTTGGACTAGATGATCTCCAGAGGTCCCTTCCAACCTAAACGATTCTGTGATTCTGTGAATGTGTAGACCTATCAGCTGACCCCTGTCTTATGGATTCCTTCTGCCTAGCTCTCTGAAATATGGCCTTTATTATGCATTCACACAGTTGAAACTGTTTTTGTTACTGCCATTTCTGTTTTCTGGCCTGGACAAATCCAGGTTCTTGTCCACTCACAGGTCTGCTGTAGATGCCACTATTTCCTAGTCCATTGCACTGCTCATATGTTTCTTTTCATCCTTTCCGTGGATTCCCTTCTCTACGGCATCAAGCATGAGCTATCTGCTTTTGCCTTCAAAGCATTTTCAGCCTACCTCTCCTCCTCACCTTTCCTCTTAGTCAGTACCGAGAGCTCAGCTCTTACCTAGTCAGTTCATGACGACGTTCCGCACTTGTTGGCCATTTATGCAAGGACTCAAATTCATCTTCTGTTGTGCATTTCACTCCAGGGAAGCGCTCTTCAAGCAAATCCATGGGGCTGACTGCAGTTCCTTCTGCAGAGCTCTCCTTTTGTCATGGTACCTACCAGAGAACATGACACATCTTGACCACTGGTGAACAATCCATTATGCAGTCTGGTATTGTCTTGTCATCTCCTTGTGCTCTGCCTGTCCATACACCGTTCTTATTGCATAGCTTGGTAATAAAAAATAATAATAGTATAAATATAGAAACTCTCTCCCTTTCCCTTTCTCATTGTTAAGGCAGGATAATGAGTTTCTTCTCTATAACATTCAGGAAGATAAAATGTCATTCCAGTGCATTTGAGTTGAAAATGGTGTCTGGAAGCAGATCTCTATGCAGCACTGCCTTTTTAACTCTATCTTTGACATTGCAGGCACTGTGCTATGCCATACTACAGGGCTAGAGAGGATCACTCAGTGATAGGCACCTCCATTTAGGAATGTTCCTACCAAAGTCTGAAAAGCTGAGGAAATTGTCCTACAAGACACAGAACCAGGAGCCCGCTTGCATCCTTCTTTATAATACTCATGTGCTGCTCTTGCCTTTGTTTCTTTTTCCCACCTCTGATGTGCAGGGTGCAGACCATCTGAAAATATGAAGTTCTGGAAGGCACAAGACTGCAGCTGGAGCCTTGACTCTTCTTGGACTTGATTGCAGAGCTAACATTGTGAAAATAGCTTAGGAAGAAGTTGCAAAGTGTTTTTGTTTCAAGGTCTCTGTTCCTCTTTTCCCAAAGAGACCTATGAGCTTGTGTGAGAAGGCCCAGCGGACCCCTTCTGGTACACAACTGCATTCAGAAAAATGTTCTGCAAGCATCCTCATCACCCTTTCCAAACAAAAGACATTTAAGGTCCTCTTTGGAGTTAGTGCTCCTTGAAAGCCCCCTCAGCTCCTTGAGAGTTGTGATTGCTCCACTGCATGAGGGAAGAGAGCATTTGACCAAATTAGCCAGATGCCACAGGGAAATGTAGCAAGTAAGAATCAGGACATTCCAGCAAGAGAAAACGGATTTGAGTCCAGTTATGAAGCTCAGCCCTAAACTTTCTCTTTCCGTTCAAAATCTCTTTTTCAGAGATACCTCTTGCTTTGTCCAGTCTCTGCCTCTAGGTTCTGTTTTCACATTTTTGAGCCCTCAGCCTCCTAAACATGGATTCATATCCTTGGATGCTCTTTGTACCCTGTGATATCCCTCCCCTATGCCTTTCTGCAGCACTTGGTGCCTAATCAGAGAAAGAGGGAAAGACAGCTGGATGATGCTGACTGCATGCAGTCACATTTCAGCACAGAGATGGAGTCTTGGATACTTTACTGAGCAACAGGCTCCGCTAACAGAAGCAATAATATTGCTTGACTTTGGCAGCTTTAGCATTATTAAAATTAATACATTCTCAGATTAAATGATCTTTGAGGTTTTCCTCCAGTAGGTCTTAATAGACAGATAAGGCCATTCAATTACCAGTAGATTTTACTGGCACTAGAGACTTCCTTGGGGCAGGAGGTAGCTCTCAATAAAATGATACAAAAGGCTGCAGATGTTTTTTTTTTCCTCGAACTCAAATGACTTTTTATAATGCAGATTAAGGCACTATTAGAAAGAGAAAGCTAATTTGGGGACAGAGCAAAAGGCAGATGGTAGTAGATTAAACATACGGTAGGACTTGAAAAGGGTTATTGTATTCTCCTTATATGATGCATTTGCTAAACATGGTTGTAGGAGAAAAGGTGGCAAGATGATTTGAAAGCCTGATTCATAAATTTGCTAGCTTTTTTCACTCTTGTCAGTTACGTTCCTAAATTATGTCAGGAGTATTCAGTGTTTGGTATCCTCATGGAACATTGCGTTTGCCCAGTTCTGCAAAGAAAGAAAACTGATGCCTGGTGGAAGTATGTGGGATGTAAATGCCGAAATATCTCATTATGAAATTGTTTACGAATCCAGTATTGATCCCTTTCTGGAGAGCAATAAGAGGCTGGATCTCAGCAGGTGCCAATCAGAAGGCCTCTTCTAAAATAGTATGGCTAGCTTGATTTAAACAAGCTGGGGATCTAATTCTGGCTGCAAGGGACCATTGGGAGATTTCAGCTCTGGACCTGCCAAAGTTCGGATGTACAACCAAGCAAACAGATATACTTAAGTGTGCCAGAAGAAAGCAAGCTAATAAGTTATCTTTTAAAAGATTTTCTGCCTTTTAGGATCACTTGCAATTTGTTAAAAGGATACATCTAAGAGGACCAGAATTTTCTTAAAGAACAGCTCACAAATGATGCGTAAAACTCCAAAGTTCAGCCTGACAGCTTCATTTCTTGCCGATGGTTTTCATCTTGATTTAGCCATTACAATGTGGTGTCAGTTAGGGATGTTTCCTTACCAACAAATTTTATCTGTGGATTACTGGGAACAGCTTGATGGTGCTGACTGAAGCTTAGAGAAGTCAAGTTTAACTATGGAGCTTGCATCTTTTGGGTCTTGGAGACTCAGGTGAGCATGAGGGAACAAAACTTTTGTTCCAGCAGTAACAGGGTTGCCTTGTGGATGGAGCATGGGTTGAGATGTAGGAGATGCAGTCTGTTTCATGCTCAGTTCCTCGGGGATCTAAAGTAGGCCAGAGCATGCCTACCATCTAATTTGACCACCAGTAAAGCACTAAAAACCAACAACTTCTGTCTTCCAAATGGGGCCTTGCAAGAGCCATGAAACCAAGCTGTCGTCATCCAGAAACACATTTCATCTGACTTGTCCAGAGAGCTATTTCTAGGCATTAAAGTATGGAGTCTTACATCTGTTGACCAAGAACTCTTTACCTGGTGACAAATCAGAATCATTCATGGTATGTCCAAGGTGTGCCAACGTATTTTCATAATTAATTTCTAACACATTGCATGGAACTTGCAATGTGGCTAGTGGGCCAAGCAAATGCAGTTACCATTTTGGATGGCAATCTAGAGTCTATTTCCATTGCTTGTAAATGCATATAACAACCTCCTGTTAAACCCACAACGATATGTTCCTGTTAATAACCTTTCATTAGCTAGAGGTTTAATCATTCAGGCTGTAAATGGGATACTTCTTCTGTGTGTCTTGTTTCGATGCTGTGGTATCACAGTAGCTCTAATCTGCACTTGCACCGATTCAGATTTTTCTGATTGTTCCTTTTCTTTACAGCAACTCTTGTTGAAATGCTGATAAAGCATGCTATTTCTTAGGTTAAGACAGGAGAATTTCCAAGTAAAAAGAATGAATTCTGTAAATTAGCAAATACTAATTATTCTCTCTGGTCTTTCTAGCGAGACTTAATCTCTGTATTTGATGGCTGTAATCTCATTGGAACAGATGTGGACTTATGTTTGTATCTTTTGAGGTGAGGTTTATAGGTTGCAAGATTGGGAAGACTTTTGAGGAAATCATTGTCAAGTTTTGCAAATAGCTGCTGTGATCTCTTTGCTCTTCAAAAGCAGTTCTCTGATTGTGTGGCTGTTTTACCACTGCTAACGATTGGACTCTTGAACATCACTGCATGGAGATAGAACTGGATGCAGGGCATCAGGCCACTTTAAAGCATATGATCTTTTGAGGGCTGGGTCTCTTCAGAAGTGAGAGTCAGTGAGGTCTGTTTCTGATCCTATATGTTTTGTCTTAGCTCCACTAACTTGTTTGCTCCTTGCTTACACAGGTGAGCCGAAGTGAACCAGTCCTAGACCTTGAGGTATGCAGTCTCTAGATCTCCCACAATAGCCCTAATATATCTTTGTGTTGCAGCCCTTTCTCTGTCGATCCCTCCATTGGGACTCTAGGGATTGGTGAGATCATGCAAGTAACAGTGGACTTTCACCCACTGGAGGCCGGGGATCATTTCAGAGCCCTGATAGTCCACTATGACACAGGTAAGTGCTGGTGAGTGCATGGTGAACGCTCTACTTACTTCAAAACGGAGCCCTTTTTTGACCGGAATAACGTTAAGCTTGCTTTGCAAACAACTTCCAAAACTGTTTTAGAACCTCTGAATGTTTCAGTGTTAAGAAATGAGCAGTTAAGGGACGTAGGCTGAGTCTGTCCTTGTTCTGTGTGTCCTGTGCCACTGTGTCCTGGTCCCTGTCTAGGGGTCCCCTATGTCAGCGCCATGTTGTCTATGCTGCACCCACCCCCTGCCCATGACAGTAATCTACGAGCCAGCATGCTTACCTGTCAGGGTGTACCTGTCCTGTCTCAAACTTACCTCGAATAGAAGTGAAGGCAAAGGTAGCTGGTGATAAAGAAGTCATCAAAATGGGTCCTTCTGATGATGAGATCTTGGAATCCTGTTTTGCTGGGAATTCTTGAGTGGAGGAAAGGGAAATATTGATTCTCCTTTGCAGTGTGTGTATGCATGTATGTGGTTTTATGCCTAGATAATGCTGTGTATCTGAAGTGTAACATAGAAAATACCTGTCTCTTATCGCATTCTCTTCAGTACCTGCTGCCTTTCATACCTCTCTATGCCATATACTACTTCTCTGATTTGCCACAGACCTTTTTACATTGCCCTCTGCCCATGTGCATCCTATGCTTCACAACATCAGATCCAAAGTACAGCGGACTTGAGGACTCTCGGGATTTGGCTGGAAGTATTCACTTCCTCCTGAGATCAGGTGTAAAGTTCATAAGGGGATACGAGAAACCAAGGTCAGGCATAGGAGTGCTATCAGCTTTTTAAATTATTTTAAGAGTGAATGGGAAAACTCAAAGTGGGACCAGTTAAAATGTTTCTGCCAGCCTTTGTTCAGCAGAAGAATCTTGTGATGCTGAACGAGAGAATTTCTCAGTTGCAGCCAAGTATTTTATGTGCAGCTTTTTTTGCCTGGAGGAGAGCTTTCCTTTTGTCCCTATTCCTGATCCTTCATCCTGGGAAGTGTGATATCTCAACCTAGCTGATACTGTGAAGCTTTAGCCCAGCAGTGAACTTGTGTGGGGTTTTTGGTTGTTGTTTATCTTGAGTTTGTGCAAGCTTGTAAAATGCTCCTGTATCTTCCAAACTATCTGCGTAGTCTTATAGGATGTCACAGCTTTGTTCAGTATTTGTCAGGCTCTCACATACCCACAGAGAACAGTTCATGCTCAGTCCAAGAAGCTCATGGGTTTGGATCACAGTGTTTCTTGAAAACCACTGAAATTCCAGACAAGCAAAAAAAAGTGCCTCATCTGTGGGCATTGTCCTTTGGAGTTATTAGAGAAAGTACAGGATAAATTACAGACAGGTTCTTCTCTGTTGTAACTCAGGGTTGATTACCCTAGAGGCTAGGGCTGTGGGGTTATATTTTGGGAATGAAAAGCCAGAGCTAAGAATCAGGGCCAGGATCTTCACGGCCTGATTTGAAGACATGGGTGGATCTTGTTCTTACTAGATGGAAACACCCAGTTTCTTCATAGTCAATCTTTGTGAAAGGGATTTGCATGGATAGGCCACAGTAATCAAATCAGCAGCTTGCCCAAGAGAAGGGCAACCTCCCTGGATCTGGCCTGCTTCTAGGAGTGATATGTGCACCTGAGAGGCTGAACCCAGGACTTCCTGAATATCAGTATGGTACTACCTTTGTTCTTAAGTACCAAATTGAGAAGGAGCGCAAAGGACGAATTAAGGGATTATCTCTTTAGCTTTGAAGCATGCAAATAAGTAGTAAGCTGCTGAGATTAATTGCAGATTTGATTAAAAGTTTCAGTTTCAATCGGTCTTAAAAGCTGCCTATTGCAGGTACAGTGCAGAGCACCAGACAATACTACATGACCTCATGTGGCAGCCCCTAGCTAATTTGTCCTGCACAAAGTCAGGCTCCCTGCAAGTCACATATGAAAAGCAGCTGTACTACTCTTTCAGAACCACCAACAAACTGTTTACTGTGACATAAAGTGCTAAGAGCAAAACGGCAGTTTTGGATGTTGGGAGGCATTTTCCTTGCTTTACTGTGTGTCTGTCTTTACTTGCTAACCCACAAGTGGCAGTAATTCTTAATGGATCATGCTGGCATTGGTGTGACTTGAACAGGATCAGTTGTATGCTATATTGTTTATTATTTGCTAACATTGGGTCAAATCTGTCCTTTGCATTGCTCAAGCAAACATGGAGCGCTTCACTGTGACTGTAGTTTTCCCTTTACATATTAATTGGTTGCCTTTAAACTACAAGTCCTTTACACTGTCCTGGTTGGGAAGGTCTGTACTGACCTTGGGTATGCTGTACAAACTTTTTTATGCTGCGCAAGTATGAGGAAAACGTCTTTGCAAAGAGCATAATCACTTACAAGGAAAACTTGCCCTTTAATCCTTTCCATGTCCAAACTCCTCAAATTCCCCCATGTAAATGAGTTTGGGCTGGGATTATTCCAACCCCAAACAGAAATGAAAATGGCTTGGGATGTTCTGTAGCTCAGAACATCCGTATTCATCACCCTAATTTTAAGCCTCAAGTTATAGCATCAAGAAGGCTTCTGCAACCTGCCTGGCAAACATACTGACTGGTTTGGAAGCAGTTTTGCGCTCGGTGCCACTAGAAGTCTAGTTGGTGGCTTAGCCTTTTCCAGGTGACTTTTAGCCCACAGCACGTGGAAGTGGGGAAAAAAAAATTACGGTGTTAAGTGAAGTCCGAAGGCAAGTCAATATTCGTGAGGGCTGAATTTTCTTTTAGCTCTCAAGTGATGCTCAAGTGAGATGTCCAAGCGGGTTCCATTGAGTGCTGTTTGTACATCAGATCCAGTCTGCTGCAACCATGGTGTTTGCTGCAACCTAGTAGTATGGCACAAGCTTGGTGTAGGAGAGTGAGCTGTGCTCCCAAACACATGGCTAAGAAAGCGTGTGACATTTCTCAAAGCCATGCCAGAGATGGAAAGCAAATTTACTGGTCCCACAGTGTCTGGAAACAATGACATTTCTGGCAGGTGCTCCACTGAGGTAGAGGTGGCTACCAGAGACAGACCTGCTGCAGAAAGGAGGTGGTGGAGAGGCTTTGGGAAGTGTGGAAGGAGAACTGCTTCTCTGCTCAGAACTCACTGAATCTGTATTAAACTCCTTCCTGATACAGTAGCTTGATTAAAATATGATGAATGATCCTCAAGGTGTAGGACCTGATTCTGTGACTGCAGGGCCTTGTTGCAAGGTGCTTCTAGTCTGGGAGATCTGTTGTGCAGCACTGAGATTTCTCTGTGCAGCTCTTACCCATCAGTGTCCTCCCCCCCCTCCCCACCCCCTCATCCCTTGGGATTCCTTTGTCAGCACAGGAAACTTCGGTAATTAGCAGAGCCCCACGGAGCTAGTGCATGGCTGACAGCCGCTATGTGCTGAGATGCTTTTATTGCTGTCAGTGAGAAGAGTAATTATGCAGATCACTTTCCTTCGGTGGCTCTGAGACACTAATGCAGGAGCAAAAGCCTAGGGGCAGGATCATCATGCTCTTCAAAGTAAAAGATCAGAGACAGGACTTGCAGGTGAGTTTTAGGAGACAGCATATCTGAGAAGAGCCAGCCCTCAAGCAGCAGCGTCTGCTCCATTGCTGTCCTGCCTCCTGTTGGATGGAGAGCTCCGGAAAGCGGCTTCCCCAGAAGAGAGGCAGCATGTGGCTCAGGCAGTAGTTCTCCGTGGTTTTAATCCCACTGGAAGCCTCTAGCCTAGTGCTAAAAGCCAGCTGAGGAACCATCTGGGTAGTTGACAGATTAATACCCTGTTTTCCCTTGGCTTCCAACACAGTTTACTGGAGGACTGACAATCCCTTAGCAAGAGCTCTTCTGAAGCAAATATCAGCTTGTTCACTGTGGATCATGGACCCAGAGCATTCCTCTGCGGCTCTGCGTGCTCAGAGCAAGGAAGGGGCAGCCTGGCCTCAGCTCCTTGCTTAACTGCTTCAAGGACTGGTGGCAGTGTCTTCCTCTGGCTGTAGTCATCAATCAGTTTGGATGAGTTCTGCTGCCCTGAGTTAGTTATTGCAGCCTCTGGGTTCCCTGTAGGAAGCAGATGAAGCAGTGTCCCCTCCTGAGCCCTGGGGCAAAATTTGCTCTCAGCCAAATTCAGGTTATTCCTGTACAGAAGAAGAGAGCAACTAAGTACGTTTCTCCAGTGCTGTGCGCTAGGAGCTGGACCCTGCATGGTGCTAGTTTTCCCCTGCCTGGATCTGGGAAGGGCAGCCTAGCTGCCTTGTTTCCCCTTGCCTCTGAGCTTTGCTGCCTGGCCTAGGAACTGCTGGGTTCTCGATATCCTTTCCTGCTTGCTCCTTGCTAAGTGCTGGGCAAGCTGTTGTTGGCCTTGTGTTTCCCAGCATGGAGCTGCAGAGTGAAGCAGCACAGCCTGGCCCATGCTATCTCTTCCCTGCTGGGCTGCTCCCAACTCTCTGGCAGATCTGGAAGCAAAAGTCTTCCCATCTCCCCCATAAAGTGCTTTTTCCAGTGTGCTGGAGGCAGCTGGGGCGATTTTAGTCCCAAGGCAATGACAGATGGGCATACTGCTGAAATCGGGAGGCAGTTTCTCTAGGTTGTATTGATTTTTTTTTTTTTATTAAATGTGTAAAATATATAGTTAAACCCTAGCCTGTGGTTGAGACACCTATTATAGCATGTCTCAGAAGCACTAAGGCAGTTTTGCTAGGAGCCCAGACAGATATTTGGACGGGCCTTTTCTGCCCTTCTGGGAGCATGGGAAGGTCTGACCCAGACCCAGCTTCTCCGGGCCGTGGGTTGCTGTGTCCTGGAAGCCTCGCAGCAACCCCTGCCTGGTGCCCTAATCTCCACTCGTAGTCAGTCGGAAGCCTCACAGGTCCCTATGCTCCCTGCAGGGAGAAAGGCAGTCCCCAAAGTTAACTGATAGCCAGGTGCTTAGTACATCACTGCAGGGGATTTCAGTATTGAGTACTGCAGGGTTAACACGG